AATTTAATGTGGATAAATGTAAAGTAATGCACATTGGAAAAAAATAACCCTAACTATACATACAATATGATGGGGGGGGGGTAATTTTAGCTACAACGAATCAGGAAAAAGATCTTGGAGTCATCGTTGATAGATCTCTGAAGTCGTCCATGCAGTGTGCAGAGGCGGTCAAAAAAGCAAACAGGATGTTAGGTATCATTAAAAAGGGGATAGAGAATAAGAAGGAGAATATATTATTGCCCTTATATAAATCAATGGTACGCCCATATCTTGAATCCCCTATGTGGTATGCAGACAGAATACAGATGTGGTCTCCTCATCTCAAAAAAAGATATACTGGCACTAGAAAAGGTCCAGAGAAGGGCAACTAAAATGATTAGGGGTTTGGAACGGGTCCCATATGAGGAGAGATTAAAGAGGCTAGGACTTTTCAGCTTGGAAAAGAGGAGACTAAGGGGGGATATGATAGAGGTATATAAAATCATAAGTGATGTGGAGAAAGTAGATAAGGAAAAGTTACTTACTTATTCCCATAATACAAGAACTAGGGATCACCAAATGAAATTAATAGGCAGCAGGTTTAAAACAAATAAAAGGAAGATCTTCTTCACACAGCGCACAGTCAACTTGTGGAACTCCTTGCCTGAGGAGGTTGTGAAGGCTAGGACTATAACAGTGTTTAAAAGAGAACTGGATAAGTTCATGGAGGTTAAGTACATTAATGGCTATTAGCCAGGATGGGTAAGAAATGGTGTCTCTAGACTCTATTTGTCAGAGGGTGGAGATGGATGGCAGGAGAGAGATCACTTGATCATTACCTGTTAGGTTCACTCCCTCTGGGGCACCTGGCATTGGCCACTGTTGGTAGACAGGATGCTGGGCTAGATGGACCTTTGTTCTGACCCAGTACGGCCGTTCTTATGTTCTTATGTAGGAGACCAGTGGGCATGGGAAGGAGGGTTCAGGGGGCTAGGGCCCCAGGGAGCGGGTGCAGGGGGCTGGGGCATGAGAAGGAGGGTGCAGCCAGTGCATGGGGGACAGACTGTAGGTGTGTGGACTGGTGGCTGGGGACAGTCCTTGGATGGGAGGCTAGATAGACACAGTCCCTGGATGGAGGGATTGAGGGCAGGGAGCAAGTGCTGGGGGGGGAGGTCCTGGGTGGAGGACTGGATGCTGGAGGGGGCAGTCCCTGGGGGGGCTGTTCTGCCCTGGACAGGGCACCCTGTCTCTTCAAAGCAGGCACGTGTGCCAGACCACTGTTGGGGGGGTGTCTGGATGCTGGGGGGGACAGTCCCAGGAGGGTTGGGTGATGTGGGGCATTCCCTAGGTGGGGGGACTGGGTGCCTGGAGTACAGTCCCTGGCTCGGGTGAGCACCCCACCCTGGGCAGGGCTCCTCATCTTTGCAGGCGGGCTCCGCAGCCATGCTCTCCAGGCACCCAGCCTAGCCACGCTGCCAGCAGCAGCGTGTCATGCCATGCCACTCCTCCAGTAAATTAATTTTAAGTTAATGTCTTAACTTATTTTGCTAATTTAAAATGCTCTTGATAGACATTTGCCAGTATTGAAATGAAAGGTACTAAATTGATTTGAATCGTATTGCTATCATATAACAAATACTAAATCTTTTTTTTTTTTCCCAGAAGTATTGCAGTGGTTCTCAAACTGTGGGTTGGAACCCCAAAGTGGGTCGCAACCCTGTTTTAATGGGGTTGCCAGAGCTGGCGTTAGACTTGCTGGGGCCTGGGACTGAAGCCGAAGCCTGAGCTTTGACTTCCCTTAAGCTTCAGCTTCCATTTAGCTTCACACCAACCTGGGGTGGCAGGGCTTAGGTTGTGCCCCCCTGCCCAGGGCGGCAGGGCTTGGTGGGGCTTAGGTTTCTGTCCCCCCTGCTGGGGTCATGTAGTAATTTTTTGTTGTCAGAAGGGGGTCCCGGTGCAATGAAATTTGAGAACCCATGATGTATTGTATTGTGGATGGGGCCCACATAACACATAGAGAGCTGTATGCGTCCCACAATGGTAAATAGGTTAAGAACCACTGTTCTAGAGATATAACCTTCAGTCTAAATTCCATGTGGTATGCAGACAGAATTACTTTCTATTGGAAAAATCTTCTATTCTGCATGCATATCAGAATGCAGGATCAAATCTAATGTCTATTTAGTGAAAATCATTAGACTCTCAGATACATTTATACCCATTATGTGTATATATAAAGTATCATTTGAAAATCAAAATAAAATTTCAAAAATGTTTTGATATTTCCAGAAAGGATTTGATGTGTTCAATGCACTAGACTTGATGGAAAACAAAACATTCCTGGAAAAACTCAAGTTTGGGATAGGAGATGGGAACTTGCAGTATTATTTGTACAACTGGCGGTGTCCTGGCATGGAATCCGAAAAGGTAAGACAGAAAAGAGCTTCTGTGCACAGTTAATAAAAATAAATTAATTTAAGAATGTCAAAACTTAATGTTTTTTTAATTGAACATCTAAGATTCATAATTAAGTTCAAAAAGCCAGTATTTGTTGCTATACTTGCCTTAACTACTGCATTTTGCTCTTACTTTAGGTTGGCCTTGTATTACAATAAGGAGGACCATTGTGTTTCTAGAACTCTGAAGCTGTCATTTGGATTGATTTAATCTACATAACAGTTCTTGGAACAGTATTGTTCAAGAGGAATAAAAGCACAACATCAGTGAAATTGAAATAATCCATCAAAACTAAAATAATGAAGAAATCCGTAGCTGACCAATTTTCACATTTTCAGATAAAATGGAAAGTTCATGAAACTTTTATTGTCCATAAAAAGAATAAAAGCACATTCATTTAATTTTCAAAGCTTAGCTCGCACCTTGATAAAAAGACGGTATTTTTTTCCACTCTGTAGAAAAGACTGTTTTGTACAAACTGAACTGCAGTGGTGGATTAGGGTACGAAAATCTTTGCTATTATGTGAATGAACTGCTGCATTTCTATTTATTAAGTGGTGGTGTATGTTTGTCAGTGTAACAGAATGAAGGATCCAAACTGAGTATCTTTGCTTATAAAATTCACATGGATGTCATCATTTGGGGTAAAATAATGGAGTTATGATACATTTGTAGCTAATAGGAAAGTCTTGGATGTTTTTGTAACTGGAGCAGTATGAAAATGTGCTGGTTTGACTAGTGCATTTGTTTCTCCATAAGCAACGCTGCCAAATCAATAAAAATACAGATTTGTACTTTGATCTTCAATAGATCAGTGGATTGATTCAGTAGTATTGCACTGTTCAGTGCAGATATCTGTTGCCAGAATGATTATAAATTACTGTACTTAATTTATAGTTGTGGCACAAAACCTTAGTTTTTCCTCAGTAGATCAACATCAGCCTGTGTGTAAAACTAAGAATTTTGATAATGCTGTCAAACTATTTATAGTTTTGAATGTTTTCAATGCTTCTGCAAAAATTGCACATATTTCTTTGTCTACTTTGAAGTCTGTAATTCTAACGAAAAGTATCTTGTGTAAATAAGTATTCATAAATTGTTACTGGTAGTGTTTTTATCCTGAATTTTGAACAAAAGGTTTCACTGCATATAGTGCCAGTAATCTTCTCCCTATCCCCTGGAAAGACTATGTACTGGCCTTAACTTAAATGCAACAACTTGATTTTTATTTCCTCATGAATGCTCTGCAACCAGAAGCATTTGGAATACGTTCCATAATGTCATATTCATAGCTTAAATTGTGATGGGAATTCTTAGAGTTTAGGTATGCTATAGTCATATGAGCAGCAAAAATCTACACTTCTAGCTGAAAGTGCCAAATAGTGGTGAAGGTTACATGCTGTGCAGGTATTTTGGACATTACTTGAATATTGGTGAAATATTTATGGATAAACCTGGCTTTAACACCCCCATAATTCTAAATGAGAGAGCAAATTTTGCTCAACTTTAGGAGCTGTCTGAAATTAGCAATGTAGAGAGAGAGAGTTAGTTCTGCCTCTATCACTGGACTTAACACCTTGTATTGGCAGCTTATCTCATAAAAGTCAGTCTTTTATAATGGAAGGGGACTCTACCCCATACGTACAGCGGTAACAGGCTCTCAGGCTTTGTCTAAACTATGATTTAAAGGCATATTGCAAGGTAAATGTGTTCTAACCCATACTAATACACGGTTACTCTAATGTGCACAGTGCAGCCTGCTTCAATATGTGCTCAAATTAAAGCATGCTGCCCTTGTCTACATTAGACTTTGAAAGGTAGTACATTCCAACCCCCCAGGGCTGGCTTCCAATTATCCATAGTAGGATTTAATTAGCCACTTATGTCATTAAAGCTAAAATGGTTTGTACCTTAAAGTCACTGAGGGCCTATTGCTGGCCTAAAGAACACAAGCTGTGTCTACACAGGCACATCCAGGAAAGTTATGACAAATCAACTTAACCTTACATTGATGTGCATAAGTTAAAGCCTATTAACCACTCACATGGATGCTCTCATGCAAGAATAAAGCAGCCTTATTCTGTGATAGTTTAATTCTCTGCCAAAGAGTGAGGATTAAACCAGTGGTTTCTGAATTTATTAATGTGAGCTACCAACTGCATTTTGTCTTTTTTTGTACCTGCCATTACATATATGAACCCTCAGCCCCAGCACTGCAACCCTAAATCCCATCTAGGTTCAGAGGTGGGGGGAGGGTTTGGAGCTCACCCTGGACTCACCCCAATAGCAGCTCCAGTCTGGGGGGGGGGGAGGGTTGGTCCCAACTCTGGGCATTGCAATTGGGTGCATGGGGGTGCAGCACCATTCATTTTTGCACGCACACACACAATTTTGACAGAGGGGTGGCCAGGCCAAATTTGAGTGGCACTGTATCATGACACACAGGGTTGCAATGCCACTCCTGTTTGGCCCTTCTACTCTATCATGAGAGAGTAGCTGCATCAAACTTGAGTGGCACTGTGACCACAAGCATCAAGTTGCAACACCCAGCATGGGGAACTGGACCGTGTCCCACAGGACAAAAGCTGCTGCTGTGGGTGAGAGCTGGGCAGGTTTTCTCTCCAACACCCCTGCTGCATTAGAGCCTTCCATCTGCACCAAGCTGGGAAAAGTATATGTTAGCCTAAGTCTGGGCTCAGCAACAGGTTATTCTGACCCTGGACATGGCAACCCCTCTAGAACCTTCCCACAACCCACTGCTTGGGAAACTCTATCTTAAACTAAGGCCATTTTATTCCTGAATGAGAACAGCTATTGGGGTGGTAATGTGCTTTAATTTACCCTTTTAGTTGATTCACTTTAACTTTCCTGAGTGACAAGCGCAAAGAACACACACAGCAAAGCTAAAAATTAGTATCTGCCTTTTTTTTTTCCCCCAGGCAGGGGCCTGTGGGCATTTTGCTATTAGAAGCCTCTGCTGCAGTTTGCTTTTGACCCTTTTTAATTTGTCCCCTTAACTTGTACATGAGTGGAGGGAGAAGGGGAATCCAGAATACAGGCAGCTTAGATAATCTTTGACCTGGAACATAGAAGTTTCTCCCCTATTTAAAAACAAAAAAACAAAAACCACAGGCTCACTTAAAGAAAGAGGTTTTTGCTAGCTTTCTTCCTGAAGGACAGTAGTAGCTTTTGAGTAAAATGTGAGATCTCAGTAAACTACTTCTATTTTGTTGAGATCATACACTTTTTTTTATTGCAGTCTGAGCTGCTTCATTGTTCCCTACCTTCTAAACATCCTTACACAATTTCCTGCAAAATATCTGGTGTGTGCTCTCATTACATTCTACTGCTTACTATGGCAGTTTCTTAAAGTGCATTTCCCTTCAAGAGTTAAGTATCATACCATTTTCAGCTATTTGGAATTATTACAATTCTGACCTGCCATTTTACATGCAATAGTACATAAAATATATCTGAAGTTATTGGAAATAGTTTCTAAACTCCCTTTGTGAAATAATTTTGACAGTTAACTTCGTCTTTGTATTATGTGGCTCCTGTTAGAGAATGTCTCGGTTTGCATACAACAGTCTTTTTTAAAATGCATTTTTCCTGCAACAGAAGTATTTAATTATTAGTATGTTGATCAAGACTAATGTTTTCCTTTAGCATATCAGAGACCAAATATATCTGGAAACCAGTTTAGCATGCATCTCTTGACCAAAACCAACCTCATAGAGCAGAGTATTAACATTCAAAACCAGAGCCTGTGTGCGTGCCTACCAGTTACAGATGTTTGCTTGAAACATCTTATAGATGACCAGCTTTTAAAAAACAAAGTTTATACCAGCATGGACACTTGTTTGAATAAACTTTCAATTTTGATATTCATTTGTTTGAATAGTTACATTTAATTTTAGAGTTTTGTTCTAAGTATATTCATTCCCTAAAAACGAAAGAATTTGCTTGATGCTTTTCATTAATAGCAAATGCACATTCTAGAACTATACCACACACCAGTAAGCCCAGGCTCTCTAAACAATAATTAAACATGTCTTAAGAAAGCAGTTAACACTTATGCACAATTTTATAGATTGCATGCTTTAATGTCAGAACAAAACAAATCTGAGTTCATCTTCTATTGGTCAAATGACTTTACTTCTGAAGCCATGACATTTAAAAGCAGCTAACTTAGTTACATGGGGCAGTTTCCAATACTACATCAAAATCACTTTACTCCCACTGTAAAGACCTGTACTAAACTAAGTTATTTTGAAGCAGCTTTTTTATTTTTGGGAGGTTTTCGTATCTTATTTGAATTTGGAACAAGCTTTTTAATTCTGAGAGCTTGTAAAGTTACATTTGAAGAATCCGACTTATTGCTTTCAGTACATTTCCACTTATGGCTTTGAGAGAACTCCTCCACGGAGGTCTCCATAAGCTCGGTATCTTGAATTTCCAAAGGATCAGTATATGCCTCCGCCATATGTTGCTCACTTCTATGGTGAATCCAGGGCACATCCAAGCTAGGTATCCGTGGTATTATACCTTTGACTACTTCAGTAAAAGTATCAGAATTCTTTTTAAAACCCAGTGCTAGAACAGATGTTAAGCCAAGCATAGGAGCTATGCTTTCACTAAGACGTGGAACCTGGCCAGCTGGGACTGCTCGACTTGCACTGAGCTGAATAAGGTGCATGGTGATCATAGTAGGTTTTGCAGATTTACACACCAGCACTAGAAGTAGTTCATTTTTTTCCAAAGATCTAGTAACCTCATTAATTCCAATAGCAAGCTGTTTCCTGATGTTTAAGTCAGTCCATCCTTGTTCTTGTTGAATATGGTCCATTTCCTTCTCCTTTGGAAGTACACTACAATCACTAGCATCACATTTTTCTTTAATTTGCCTTTTTGCAATAGAACGTTTTTTCCTCCTTCGAGTCTCAATCTTTTTAAGTCCAATGTGTTTAATCCTTTCTTCCAAGGTCTGGAGTATAAAGTGCATATCATCTCCTTCTAGGGTGTTCCACTTGATATCATATGGGTTATTTAAAGATGTTTTTACAGTAATTTTCTTTGCTTTACGGACTGATCCACCCCTGGCCTGCACTATGGGCATCTTGATGCTTTTCTCTGTGTTTTGACACCTCAGCTATGAATAAGAGAAAAGAGGAAACTACTAGTTAATATTTTTAAGATACCCAAAGTGAACAGTCTTTAAAAAGTGCCTCTCTTGGGCATGCAATAGAGAAACTCTTTCTATTGCAACAGATTTGTGCTTCTTAGTACCTTTCCTAATGTTTTAAGAGATCTATAGCCTGTTTCACACCAGCTCAGTACCACTTTTTTTTAAATCTTTACAAAAAGCACATTCAGGAATCACCCAATGAAATTAATAGGCAGCAGCTTTAAAACAAAAGGAAGTACTTCTTCCACAACACAGAGTCAACCTGTGAACTCATTGCGAGGGGATGCTGTGAAGATCAAAATCATAACAGGGTTCAAAAAAGAACAAGATAAGTTCATAGAGAATAGGTCCATCAATGGATATTAGTCAAGATGGTCTGGGATGCAACCCCATGCTTTAAGTGTTCCTAGCCTCTGATTGCCAGAAGCTGTTCTGTTCATTGCCTCTGAAGCACCTGGCATTGGCCACTGTCAGGAGACCGGATACTGGGCTAGCTGGATTGGTCTGACCCAGTGTGGCTGTTCTTATGTAGTATTAGACTTCAGTAATTACTTGGAAACATAGCACCTGCTCCATTCATTAATGAAAAAGCAACAAGTCAAGACTTGTGCCAAAAGTGATACATCTGAAACTGTACAGAGGCTGCTAGAGGTTCTACAGATTAAAAAACTAAGTCAAAACAAACTGTTGACGTTGTAGGAAACAAATATTTCATTTTTACTGCTGCACATATATATTTTGGAAACTATCAAGAGAACAATGATCTGAACCTATACTATCTCAACTGTAGCAAACTATTTTATATTCTTGAATTCATGAAGTATCTTTACTTTGATTAGCATCCTCAATCTTTCCCCCTTTGCAATGTAATTCACATTAGCAAGTGTTCTTGTTTACTGGCATTTAGAAGATACAATTTTTTAAAACTAATTCTTAGGCTTTTGTAAGGAAAGGCAGATATTCTATTGTACGCCCCCATGGAAACTCAGATTTGACCTATAACAGGAGCATGTTATTCCACACATGGTATTGTGACATCTAAACTAAAGCAACTCAGGTTTCAAATCAGAAAGGTTGAGACCTGTCATTCTCAAGGGACGATCCACAATTACAGAACTCCCTCTAGAGAACAGACCAAGCACAATATTACTCACATTTAAAGGACAATAAGTGTATCTAGTTTATATAGATATTTCCCAAATAACCATTTCATAAGTTACCCTAGTCCTGCCTACATAGGCAAAAAGGTGTGTTTTTAATCAAGTTAGCTCAACTTGATTGAAATCACTCTAGCACCTTGAAGACCCAATTTAACACCATTACGATCATTTGGGCTGCTCATGTGCCTACGCTCTCACCTAGGCCACAACACAACCAGCTCAAATGATCTTACAATAGTTTCTCCAAATCAAGCTGTGTCTACACAGACATTTGGGAGGGTAGGGTTGTCTTCACTGAGTACAGTTAACTACTTGATTGAAAAAATACCTCTTCTGCCCATGTAGACAGGCGCAATAACACTGTTCTGCAGGCAATCAACTACCACCATCTGTTCACTATAAAACAGAAGAAGGAAAATAAAAATAAAGATGTTTATGCTGACTATGGGATGGGAGTTTTTCCTTTTAGAGGCTATTTGATATCTTTTAATTTTATAGCTAATCCAGAGGGGTTTTTTTAGTAGCATAAGATTGGTCAAACAGCTTAATTTGTAAAATGACTCATAAAAGGAGCAACCTAAAGGCCGAAGCAACAAGAAGACAGAAAGATAAGTATTTGCTACTGCTGGAGAGGCTGAATGTGTGTACCATGGGCACAGCCTAAGAGGAGAAGTGACAGCCTATGATGGAGTGGGGCAAAATGAGAATGTACCTTTTGGATTTTCTTCATCTGAAGGCTTTTAAGGAGGGACCCTATGGCATATGCGTAGCCTTCATACTGGACAGAGACCAAGAAAGAAGACAGCAGTAGAGTAGTATACAAAAAGTAGTAGGACAGATAAGAGAGATTAGCCAGGCTCAAATCTCATTGTGTGGAAGGGGTTTTGCTCCATGAGATTTAATTTCTCTCCTTCCCAAATAATCAGATTAAGGGAAAGTGACAGTATAAATAAATGTCCTATGGGTTCTCTACATTATGTGTACCACGATTTTATGTAATATAGGTGCATTGTTTTTGTTCAGGTATCATTTAATAGTGGGTCCATGGTCCTAAGATCATCCTAGATGTTATAAAGATGAGTATTTTAAAAGTATATACATAAATGGGGCTTAAAAATACACTTGTGAGCAGGAAGCCTTTCCTGGGGAGTGTGCAGGTTATGGTTACGTCTTCAATTTCTGTAGAATTGTTTAAGATAAGTTACCTTTGCAAGCTTAAGGGCTGGAAACGTCACAAACATGAACTACATATAACATGCTGAAAGACACCTTTAACACTTCTGCTGTTAGGTAAAGCTATAAGCAACAGCGGTAGAGTGAAATTAGCAAGTATCTAGTTAGTTTTGCAGGATCTTTATGAGAAACCTGTTGACAACAGTGAAGCTGTCAGTAATAAGGCATTTTCACATTTGCTGCCATGGAAAGATCTGAGCAGAAGAAGCAGGCACTGAAATTATTCACTGGATAAGGTAATCAAAAAAATGAAGGTTGGATGACTGATTGAGTATCCTCCTACCATAGCTAAAGGAGGAATATAGGGTTACATCCCTGGACTAATCTGTTGGACACACTCACATATCACGTATAGCTTTTATATTTACCTCTGACCAGTAGATTTAGTTCTCCAAACAGTAGATGTTCTGTTAAATATCTGAAGCCCTCTAGATACCTCAGAACACCAAACCTATGAAATCATGGTAAACTGTGATTATGAGCAAAATATCAACATCTAGCCTTGCTTATCTGCTCCTCAGTGAACTAATGTTTTAAACCTGCCACTTCTCTATTCAGAAACTAAGAACAACCAAATCCCAATTCTAGTGACAGACTTGGAACCATGCAGTAGGTGCCCAACCCCAACTCATCTTATCCCCACCTGAGCAGGAACCTGACCCCTCCCCATCCGGGCCGAACCCCCCCACCCGAGACGCAACCTCCCGCCCCCAATCCCCACCCGGGCCGCAACCCCCCGGCCCTCCTCCCCCACCTGAGCCGGAACCCCCTGGCCCCTCCCCCAATCCCCACCCGGGCCGCAACTCCCGCCCCCACCTGATCCAGAACCTCCCAAGCCCTCCAACCCCCAGGGGAGCGGGAACCCCCATCCTCTCTTCGCCATGAGCCAGAACTAAACCCCAACCCCGCCTCCACCATCCCCCTCGCACCGGGCCCGGGCCCCCTCGGACCGAGCCACCGGCCCCAGTCGCGCGCGCCTCATCCGCTGCCTGAGGCAGCTTCCTACGGCCCCGCCGCCGGCAGGCCCGGCCCGAGACTCGCCTCCTCTCGCCGCTGACGCCGAAGCTCGCAGGCCGCGGTGCGCCCGCAACGTGCTGCCAGGGGGCGCTGCAAGAACGTGTGCGCCGGAACCCGGCCCCGCCAGGCCCCGCTCCCGCCGGCCTGCTCCGAGCGAGCCCCACGTGCGCCGGTCCGGCGGCACATCCCGCCCGCCCCAGCGGCGGTTACCGCCATGTAAGTATGGCCGCCTTTGCCTACCCGGCAGAATTTGCTACCATGGCACTGACGCGTGAGTAGCACAACATGAATATTTCAATTGATTTATTACATGGTCCGAATGAGAAAAGCGTCTTTCATTTTGTAGGCAAGTCTGCAGTGCATGCGCCTCTCACATCTTCCGGTCCAGGCTAACCCTGCGCAAATCGCACAGGTTCACGCTGTGTAAGCTTAGGCAGTACAAGTATGTGCTGTTCCCCAGGTTTTGCAAACATACAGGTTAAACTGAAAGAAAAAAAAAGTTACACCATAAACTTACATACAGACTTGTCCAAAGGCATGTTCCTTCGCCTATTTGCCACTGAATGTGTAATTAGCAACAGTAATATCCCATCTTTTAGTATTGCTATCTGAATCAATTGTTGTGGGGTTTTCTGGTGGGTATGAAGACACCAAAAAAAAAAAAAATCTTATAGCAACCCTGCTGGGGTGCCCAACAGCAGTGTTTCCAAAATATAAGGTGAGTGTTCCCAAACAGTTGTCAGCAACAATGTGCTTTTAAAAAAAAATCACAAGGGCAATGAAACCCATGTTCACTGTCAACTATCTGTGATCTGATAGTGAGGTTGAAGAAATAGTAAAAATAACCTGAAAAAATAAGTCATTACCTTATTATTGAATTCAGGACCGACAACATCCGCTGTTGGCATCAATGTCGAACAACCATTTTGAACATGATGTTTGCCACCTCATATGCTGATTTAGTTCAAAGTGGAAAGGCTTCCACCCATCTTGAAAGATAATCTGTGTCTGTCAGTATATATTGGTATCCCTCCTTTGTTGCTGGTAATGGTCCTATTAAATCAATCCCCAACAATTCCCAGCTCTGACTGACCTATATGCAAGGGTACCAGTTACAGTCATACTTCACATTTCTCTTACTAAATGTTCTCAATAAGCCCATATGTCGTAAGCAGAGTAAACGCTGTAATATGGTTATAACAACCACAAAATCAGAAGGGAATGACCACTTTTAAAAACACAAGAAAAAATAAACAAACAAACAAAAAAGTACAGGAATGGGGTAGGAAAAACAATACAAGAGGACCCCTGAAGAAATATGCCACGCCAGTGTAAGGAGCTGTAGAGGTCATTGCTGGCTGTGCCATGCCACTTGTATGCATTGCACTCATTGCGAATTCAAGGCCTCGTTGTATAGCAATAATAAAAACACATAATGATAAACAATTAACTTTGATTCCGTCTTTCAAAGATTTACTTACGTATTTTTAAGGAAATGAATAAGACTTTGTCATCTATATGCTGTATGCACTACAAATACCAATAATGCATTGACAATTGAAAGGATGACTAAGAAATTTCTGAATAAACGTAGTAGATGTGTCTGATTCCAAAATTCACCTTTATGCTTTTAAAGGTGGTATCCACATTTAATTCTTTTCCCTCTTTCTGACAATGCAGACATCGTGCAACCTAGTTTGGATGGAACAATATGACAACATTAACATTTTTGTATGGAGATATTATTGCAAGGGAACAGAGTTCACATTTTCACACCAAATGTATTTATATATTTCTTCTTAAATTTCAAATTTGTATTTAAATTGTAAACAGCATTCTTCAGGGTTTTGTTTAATTACTTTACTTACCCAATCTGCAATGTCTTTTGTCATCCCTGGCCAGTAGTATCTTGATGTCAGCGCAGTTCTCATTTTGAATATTCCTTGATGTCCACCATGTGGACTGTCATGATACATTTCAAAGAGTTATAGTGCTTGTTTCGTGGTGTGCACAACCACAACCTTTCTTCCTTTTGCAGAATAGCACAGTGTCCCCTCTCTTAATCAGAGAAGATGGAACCCAGAGCCAGATTAAGGTTTCTCAGGGCCCTGGGCCAGAGCAAGTGTGGGGGCCCCTATCAACCCCTTCCACCTGTGGGCCCACCGCGTTCTGACCCTTCTGCCTGTGGCACCGCCCACAGCCCCACCCCTTTCTGCCCCTTCCCCGGGACCCCGTCCCTGTTCCACCCAGGCCCCCCACATTCCATCTGCCCCACAACTCCTTTGTTCCTTTCTCCACCCCACCCCCCTTGTGGCCCAAGACCGGAGAAGCTCTGTCTCTGTGTCACGGCCCCGGGGCCATAGTGGGGAGTGAGAGCTTCTCCAGTCCCAAGGCTGCAGCAAGGGTCTGGGTGGCACTCTTATTTAGGGGACCAGGGTCAGGGTTCTGGGGCCTCTCCTGTCCCACCTGGCACTTCTGCCGGAGAGTGGGGTCGAGCACGGGGGCTTCCCCTGGAACCCCGCGACTTCTGCCGGGGATGGGGTCGGAGGCTATTGGTGGGGGCTTCCCCCGCCCGAGAGCTTCTGCCACGGAGGCTTCCCCCATCCCATGGCTTCTGGGGACGGGGTCAGGTGGGAAGGTGGGGTAATGTTGGAGGGGGGTCTTCCCCCATCTCGCAGCTTCTGCCAGGGATGGGATGGGGGCGACGCTGCAGGGGTTTCTCCTGCCCCACCCACCGGGCGGAAGCTGGGGGCCCCCGCATTTGGCCAGGGCCCCTGGGTGTGGGTCCTGTAGGCCCAGTGTCTAATCCACCACTGAGGGAGATATGATTATGAAATCAGGTGTTGTACTTAAGGTATTACCAGTTATTTGCAAAGCCATTATTAATTATAAGGCATATGCATATCAAAGATCTCTATATACTGTATGGGTCGGAATGGCTTGAGTACAAGGGGGTGGAATTTCAGTATATGGTTAGAACTGGATGTTGATTTTTTTTTTAAAGTAGAAATTGTTCAGTGAACATATAGTGATTGGTGTTGCTGCTTTCAGGATACATTGGATAACATACTTGTGAAACGAAGCAAAATCATAGGGGTTTTTGGTAACATTTATAAACTCATTTCTCATGTAACTGACAAATACATTTGTTGCACCACCTACATAGGTAGCAAAGGAGATTTTCTGGAAAATTTGAATAAAACCAGTGAACCTAATCCCGGTCCCATAGAAGGTAAGGTTAAATAATCTCAATGTTGGGACTCCAGGACCATCATTTATATGCTGAAGATTCCAATGTAATGTGTCTGTATTATATGAAAAAAAATTATTCCTTGCCTTCCAAAGGAAAGTTGACAGTAAATCGATGCAGGTTCAGTCTGCTTGCTTTATTCATTCCTTCAGGATATGTGTTACTCCGCATATATGCCAAAACATTTGCAATTTTTTCTCAAAAGATTTCCCTGAGTATTGTTCACAGAAGAAAACAGTTATGTAAGTGCAAACATGTAGTATCGATCCATATAATAATCACATTTCAGTTAGTAGGCATGACATGTACATTGCAGACATATAAGCAGGGTAAGCCAAAATCAACAATGCATCATTCATAGGCCAATCACAAGAGAGTCAAAAGTAAATTGGAGCTATATGCATAATTTTGACGTATTTGTGGCTTACAAAATCTGACTGTAGTAGATCAATGCAGATCGAATGTCATTTGAGATAATGAGATCACCTACAAGATCAAAACCCATAAGCAGGGGTGCTTGAAGATAATGTGTTCAGAAAACAACAGAATAGATATGGAAACCCTCTCCTTACCTGCCATAATGATTTGTAGTACAATTAATTTTTTGCCTAGTACAGTGTTTTTGGAGAAAATAGTTTTCTGCAATTCCGAAGAATCTGAAATAAAGAAATCCCTATAACAAACACATTTCAATATCCCCATGGTCACAGGCATTGTTACCAGATTTGCCTTTTACTTTTGGGGTATGCTCATTTATTAGGGTTACTGTTCTGGGGGCAGGTTCTGTAATTCTATCAATGAGCTGCTTGTGTCACTTATGTTTTCATACAGAGCTCTACTTCTCCCTTCTGGAGGTTCCCTCCCAATGGAGCTATCCTGCAGGACCTAGGTGCCCCAGGGCTGGGTTCCTCCAGCCCCAGAAAATAAATATATATATATATATATATATATATAATCTCACTCACACACACTCACACCCTACCCCTCAATGAACCAGGTCAATCAGCACTCCCAAGCTGACCCCCTTATATGCCCTGGACTCAGCAGGCTGGGTTGAGCAGCACTTCCAAGTTGCCACCCTCCTATGCCACAGGTTAAGCACGTCCCTGTCCCCACTTTCACGTTACAGTTGTTCTGGTAGTCGCGCACTCGATGAGCGCACACCCCATACGATTTTTGGGTAATGCAGGGATCTTTAGCTTAGGTGTGAGGAGCGTTGCTGCAGAGAGAGAAGCAACCAGCTTAACCATGAAAGTTATTTATTGCCTGGTAATAACCATACAAGGGGAGCCAAACAAACAAAACAGTTATAATAAATCTAACTTAAATTTGATTATAAAAGTCAGGGTTAGAGAACTATAACTGATCACACAAGTCAGGGTCAGAAGGCTATACCT